AACAACTAAAGCATATATACGTATGAAAATGCATAATGTGTATATTATGGCGCCTGTAAATTATTTGGCGACAATAAGTTTCATGCTTAGTACCAAAAACAGACCGTCTCTGATTTTTAAAATTTATCACTTAAATTTTCTCTCGTTAACCCACCTTTAAAACTTCATCCATTTATTATTTTTCTTCAAGGAATCTAAACAACATAGGTAATTAGTTCCTTTCAATACTAATATCAAGTTGTTTATTTATTAAATAAACAACAGTAGAGAAAACACCTTTATGTATTAGTAGTAAAACTCACTCCAAAAATCTTAATGACAGCTTCGTTTATAACTATGAAAGTGACAACAATAGAATTGTGCTTACGACAAGTAATGATATCCTAGATAAACAACAGTTGAGTATCTTTTCTAAAAACAAAATGTTTACTTTAAAAAATTTATGGTTTAAAAAAACATGAAGCACTACAATGGCAAAACTACATGTTAGTTAGCTGTAAGCATTAAATTCCCTTTCTATATTTCTTAATGATATATATATTCGCATCTCAGATGTCTGGTTATACACTCTGTGTAACCTAAGCACATTAGTTTAAAAGATAGATATTTTCAGACTATGAGAATAACAGAAAGATGAAAGGGAAGAAAGCAAAAGTAAAGTGTTTTGTAGAACCTTATTCTCGTATTACATGTAAAAAGGATTTCTTCTGATGGTTAACAAGTTGATAGTATCCTGTTGTTCTGTAAATAGGTTCCTATGGAAGTGAAATGGATTGATGAAATCCATACATGTTTAAACCTAAAATGTGTTATAGTAAACCACATTGCATGATCTTAAATCTCCAGCAGTCAACTAAATCGATAAAATTTTCAGTTTTGCTCCCGAGAGACACAAAAACATATTGCATGAGGTTGTGATCAAAACCCACATCTACGGATCAATTCACTAAAACCTTGACACATATGCATAATTCTAAAATCTATCTATCAAATCGCTTGTTTGTAACTTTAAGTGCAATTAGATGGGTAATCACAAATAGTTTTGAAAGCCATTAATGGATAAAAATGGTCTACATAACCCAAAATGGCATTAGCGTGGAATCAGTTTAGCCTTTTAATAATTCTATTTATTTATGGGAATCTTTAAAATTCTACTTACATCTGGTCACTGCAAAGGTCAGGAGTTATAAATTTTACCACTTGTAAGTAGAAATATTTGTATCAGTTCTAATCAAAAGATTATGTAAAGGCCATCTATTCAGCATATATTTGGTTAACCTGTAGCTTCGATTTTATAGGTACTATGTCAATGATAAAAAATAAAGATAAAAAACTTCAAATTAACACTAAGCTTTCACACGAATTAAGCATTTGTGATTAATATGCCTGAAAGGGTAATATAAACTGTTAACCATATTCTTAGTTATTTAATACTAACTGAAATAAAAAGACATCTTTGACAGCTGGCGCTAAGAAGCATAAAATGGTACATAGGCTACATCTATGCAACAGCTGAACATTGTATCTGATTCAAAGTAAACAAATAATGATATATTAAGGCGAAAACCTGAATAATCACTTGTGATACCATAGGGATTTATAACAGTTGCAATTTTGAATGGAGTTGAGTATTGGCTAGCAGTGGAATTCTAAACTTGTTTTGTCCTATTTCGGATTCATCAACTAGATGTATGTGGTGACGCTTCTTGAAAATGATTTTCACTTAGTAACTAGATCAAAATAATCCTGTCAGAATCCACATAAGCCAAAAACTGCTCAATTGCACGTCTTTACAACAACAACAAGAGTCAATCCCTTATAACCAAATTATTATTGCATCTTTGTTTTGAATAATTTCGTCATTTCTTTTTCCACTAATTTTTCTCAATCGCCGTGACTCCCTATGGTTGTTTCGAAAAATGAGGAGCTAAAGAAATAATTTCTGATGTTCACCTTATGATCTTCATAAAATTGCTTTTTCATCTTATTTGCTTATTCTGGTCATCAAAACCTGCCCACTTTAATAGGACGTGATTAAAAGGGAAAATAAAGAATGAAAAAAAGGGATAAATAACACATGACTCTATTAAATATTTATTACTTAATTAGTGAAAAGGACGTTGGTTATGAATCTGCAGCGTAGTAGAAACATACTTTGACAAAAATGAAATTCCATAACACTACTCACAATTATCATTAGACGATGACGATATTTTTATAAGGTAGGAAATAAAGGTCAAAAAAACCTACCTTATCTTACATATCATAACTATCGGTAAGCGTTTCCATAAGTTTTCACATTTTACCGCCTAACATTAGCCAACTCAGTTGATATCAGGGTAAGTGTTGTTTTACTTGAATAGAGTTTCAACTACGTTAACAAAATAAGGATAGAGTCGTGATTCATACATTGTAAATTAATGATAACTTCCCCTTTTTCTTTAAAGTTACAATTGGTTAATTCAAACAAATTTACGTGATGTATTAAATAAAATCTCTTTCTATTTATTTAATCAAGAAATTACTCTATAAATTTCTCACATATTATACGTTTTTCGCTTTAGCTTTTGAGTCTAAGCTAAGAGGATAATTAGTAAAATAGGTTATCAAAATGTTACTACCTGATCTGGCAATATGAAACGATATAAAATTGAATATGAAGACAACCTAGCGTTTAGATCCATGATGTCATACAGTGAGAGTTATCACTACAAAAGTAGTAAATTTCGCAGAATTTCTGCTATACCATCTGTATCATACCAATAAGGTTCACGAATTAAAATGAATGGTTTGAGGTAATATTACCTATGAGATAAACTGAGTGTTTCACACGACAAAGAATTTAATGATAGATTCAAAAACGAAAGTTACTTGAAAACTTTCCAAAACTTGATAATACATTGCAAACACGATGTAGATGATATAATTGTGTATATAGAGATTACCTCTATAATCTATCATGATACTGGCCAAAGTAAAAAAAACAGTACCATGATATTTCTAAACACTGGCAAGTAGATATCAAACTGTACCCTAATCGTCAGAATAATTTAGAAAATTAATCAATACTCGTCTTTAAACACTCGATTAAATGAAATTTTTTTTAAAAGAAATCACATTGAGACATCCCTGTTATAATGAATCAAAACACTTGGTGAATCTAATGCCATCAGTTAGTACGTTTCAATAAAAAAAAAAAACTATTAGTTGGTGAGTCACTTCTATGTATGGATGAATAGTTTAAAATTCATTAAACAATTTTATGTTACTTTTTAAGAGAAGAGAAGATAGCTTTGTCAATATAGAATGTGAATTTAATTTGTATTAAAATTACCTTAATTATGAAGTCTTCGTTTAGAAGGCCTAACAACAAAATAATGAATAGTTATCAAGAAGTAAAGCAAAGTAAATTAAAAGTAAGATGGAAAGCAATGAAAAATGACTGATGTGAATATGTTTTGTGACAAGTATAGTTTATTCACAGTCAGCAATTGTACATTGGTAGAAACTGTCATAATTAGGTTCACAATAAAGTGGAACACTGATGTTCAAAAATAATATTCAATTCTTAACACATTTTCACATCTATTTATCACATGAATTCTTGAAAACTGGAACATTTCTTTTTTTACGACAAACAGACTTTTGA